TGCGAATGCTTGTCCATCCAAGTCGCTGGGAAACCTGACGACCCACCTCTGCTCCCCCGTCGTGGGAAGGATACCGATAACAATACAGACTTTGCGCGACCCCGCATCATCGGTGTGGCACAGGTTCCATGTCATGAACATCAAAATTCTCTCTCACGGGAATTAAAGCCCCCAATATAGCACCGTCCTCTATTGAACAATCCACTTGAGAATTGTTTCGGACGAGTATGCAGACAGTCTCATCATCCACGCTGTTAGCCACAACGCACTCAGGAACCTCAATGCCATCAGGTAGGTTGTCGAGGAGTGGGGATAACAATAGAGGGTGATGACAATCAGCATTTTTTATATCCACATTAACTCTAGCGACTTCGCCCTGGGGTACGAGGGTGATACTCGCGCATCTTGCATGAGGAAGAGGCTGATCTGCTGATGCCTTCTCTCTGACCCCAATACTCCTCTCCAATGGCACTGCAATTCTCCATCGGTCACCCGTTTCGCTCCGAACGGCTTCTTTAGGGATCACGCCGGTACCTCCTTCAACAAACTCTTTATTGTATCTCTTTTCGACATCGATCACCATCAGATTAGGGGATCCTCTCCCAAAAACTTCGCCAATTCCAGGAATGGAGAGTATTGTTACCGAGCAAAAATTCGAGAGATAGCCCGGGTGCTATCAGAGCCTGGATGAAGGAGCATAATGAGTGATCTTGAGATCCCAATGGTTTCAACTGCACTTTCATAACAATGAAGGTCTTCGCCACTATAGCTTGGCCTCCAGTAACTCCAGAGAGTTTGAAACCATTCCCTCTCAACGAAAAGGGGCCTCTGGCAGCTTCTTGCTTGATTAGCTCAAGGGCAATATCAGGCCTAATGAGCGTAACCGGATTACCGGAATCCGGAGGGCTAACAAGCACCTCATTCCCACATTTAATATCAACGGTTCGGGTGAGGTTATAGGGTTTGCCAACTGGGGATTCGATATCACTGCGTATTCCTTCATAATCGCGGGCAACGAGATGGGTCTCGTCCGTCGCTGAGACATTACCGCAGCTCGTCACAATAAGCGTGCCAGTACCCAGAGAGCAAAAGATATCAAAGGGATCTTCCACTTCGCGGCCTTCCTTCTGGTCGTGGTGCTCATCATCAGAGAAAACCGCGCAGGGAACGATTGTGTCATGATCTGAGGGCGATTCTATACTGGAAGCCTCATCTACACAAGCCACCCTGTTCGCACTCGATGGTGGGAGAGGCCTAGAAGGCAGGTTTCGTGGAGGATTAGGCCTCAGTTTGTAATCTGCAGGACCGGCTACATTGGTCACTGTATCTTTGAACTCAATCGCCCGCTTGCGCAGTTCTCTTTCGGCCGCCTTAGCGTTGTTCATGACATCCATCAGTGAGTTTCGGCTCCCACGAGAACCTTGGTATTTCCTCATTCGCGAGCGCACATGAGATGGCAGCTCGCTGAGGAATACAGATATAACGTAATCATCTGCTGCATTACCACCCCGCTCAATCAGCTTCTCATAGTTCTTAACAAATTTTTTACATAAAGGGGTAACGAACTTCTCTCCCCCAGGTTGAAGGTCCCGGCGGAGTAAGGCCAATGCATCGCCATCAAAGACCGGAATGCATTGATGCATAATATGCAATAATAGGCCTTCGTGCAAAGCACGGAAGAAGACCTCTTCATGTGGAAAAGCCGACTCATCGTCAATGCAACACAGTAGTTTACGAACGACTGAGTCGTTACGAAAGGCCCCGACAATCGGTTCTATATAGTCAATGCTAACATCGCAGAGACCGCTATATAAGCTCCGCGCATTATGACGTTGACCCTCAGTTAAACGCACCCAAAGACGAAGGAATCGAGAACAGTCCGGAGTACTAGGAGATTTCAAAGCTTCAATCTCCTTCATCGCCACCGGTCTGTTCTTCTTCATTTTTGCAGCTGTGAGATAAGATGGTGCCCGTAGATTCCTCAGCGCCGGGTGAGGAATCTTGCCAGCCTGTCTCAGTAATTTTGGGTTATCCCCTACACAATTATTATCATTATCCCAAGTTTCGGGGAGAGGGTGCTGCAGGTGCCTCAAAATGATGCCTGCATCTAACTGTTTTATCTTCCCCGAATTCGAACGACGCATGAGACGGCACATATTTCTTCCCAGCTGCCACGGCTTGTAAGCGCGACCCGAGTCAGAGTCAGAATCCATCGAAGCGAGACACTCCCTTTGGGACTTACTTTCACTGAGTTCCCCTTCACAATTATCTGAGCTCCGGCGCTGTCGCATATCCTCCATCCCGATGGCCAGCCTTTCCAATGCAGTCTCGATAAGAGATAGGCGAGCCGCCAAGGCGTCTTGACGGTCCATAATCATATCACTAGGAGCATCTTCAGCACTGCCTTCGTTGTTAGTACCAATGCTACCACCACCAAGCCCAAACCCATCAGTGGCACGGGGGACCCGTAGAGTTGTAGGATTAGCGCCATTACCGTCATCAACGGTCAAGCCCGATCTTATAACAGATGACTCCTTAGTTGAAGCCCTCACAAGTGGTATCCCTTCGGAGTTATTAGCCGCACAGCCCCCATTATGTGGGAGAGATTCCGCGACAACGCACAAACCCTCCTCACCAGAAATGCGTCCCTCATAAGCACCAATAAGATCCTGAACTTGGCTCGAACTAGAGCTCGATGGAGGGACAGTTTTAATTAATCCCGAAGAATCGGAATGAATAGCATGCTCAACAGGTATCGTAGGATCTAATGGTTTCGTAGAATCAACAGGTATCGTAGGGTCTAATGGTTTCGTAGAATCAACAGGTATCGTAGGATCAATAGCACCCTCTTGTACTCGAGTTATCTTCCCACTACCATAACGCGGAGCAGAGGCCTTTGATTTGGAACTAGCTCTCGGGGGCATAATGGAAATAGAACTTGAGCCAAGATGGCTAGTGACATCGCAACGAGGCAACAAGGTAAACCATCTCGGCTCTAAAACAATCACGGACTATCATGCGTGCTAACACTTGAAGAAATTCAAGTCAGCAAGATCTCGAATGATTAGTCATCGAGCTGTGCTCCCACACACAAGCTTCGTGTAGGGTAACATACAAGACCTGGGAGGAACCACAACGACGGGCTTTCTTGCAATAGCAGTGAGCATCCATTTGGAGATGTGTATTAGATCTTCGTATTTGATGTACTGACTGTGCTGCTATTTTTATTGACAGTTCCGTCGGGACAGTGACTAGTACTTCTTACGATTAGCAGTGTTGAGATTCAAAGAGGGGTTCGATCGTTTCCTTGGGTGTAATACTCATTATCATTACCATAAATAGCCTGAAACTCTGAGTGGGGACAAGTTGCACAAAAACTCTCACATTTGAGACAAGTGTGTCAGCTGTGGGGTTCGAACCCACGCGGATCTCTCCACCAGAACTTGAGTCTGGCGCCTTAGACCACTCGGCCAAACTGACAGATAATGGTATATGCTTCGCCATAGGGTAGACCCACCACAGTCTGTTCCTTCTGAGTCCGAAAAATTGCAGAATGCCTCTCACAAAAGTAGCTTCACCATGTCTTCTATGGAATTCACCCGATATGCTTGTTCTATCTTCACTTCTTCATAAAGGGAGGCTACTGAATTGCATGTGCAAAATAGTACCAGACATCGTAACATTGTAGCCTACAATTTGTAGGGATGCAGAGTTGAGTTTAGTTAATTCCTATAATTTCTGTCGACTTAATCAAGGTGGATTCGAGATTTGTAACTGCTTGTACGCGCTGTAGGAACTTTCCGTGTCGGAACGTTTACACTACGTTTACGTACGGAAGGGTCGCCTGATAATCAGTATTGTGGTAGTAGATAATCGGAATTGTATCCACTGGGAGTGAGTTACTCCATGGGGGAGCGGTATGAACCTTCACGAACTTCGTTGAGCAAAGGCGCCATACAGATGGTGGACGAATTCATTCGATGATTTCCAACCTGTATCGTAGTGTCTTTGGCGAGCACTGGCCCGTGGTGCCTATTGGGGTTCGCTGAGACCGCTAGCTCTCGCTCTTCAGTTTTGCAATAGATGTTGATGGAATCTCCCGTACAGCACAAGCATTCGACCGATCCAGACGCCATGGTCAGTAGCCACTTTATGGATGCAGTGCTCGCCGATATGCTATGCGATGCCTCGATACCGCTGGCTCCTGAAGATGGTGATACCCAATGGTTTGAGCTGTAGATCTTCCACTGATTAAATGGTATTCGTTGTTCCTCACTCCCGACCCATAGCGACGGCTAGGACTGTATGGAGATGCCCGTAATGGGCTTTCGTCGACGGAAAAGTCTTCAAGAAATTCCAGTTTAGTCGTCTCATTTGGTCGTGTCGATGCTCACCGATTTCTGTGGCCGCTGCCAAACTATTTCTCGAATCTATATCTCACCTTTTTCGTTATCTTTATCGCGGTAATTGCCGAAGTTGATTGGAAAGTGTTTGGTAAATTTGGGAGGAAACGAGATGCAAATCGATTTTATCATTAGACACATCATCGGCTAAGAAAGACGCAAAGAAGACGATCGATCGAGTTGCGTCAGCGGCAGGAAAAGCCAGGGGAAAGATCATCACTAAAGCTGAGGTGATTCATTCGACTTGAACTATGTTCAGTATGGGATTGTTGATATCAGCAGCTCACCATTCATGCAGTAGGGACGGAGATTGGGGTGAACGAAAGCTCAGCGGATGATATAGTGAGGAATTCGCCTGCGTTCCTCGACTGGGTTCTTGAAATGTCTTTGCGGCGAGAAAATCGTTGAAATTGACGGCGAATTTTGATGAATTCAGTCAGTGTTGGAGTTGGATGCATTCCGGAAAGACTCACATTGTCGTTAGCTCAAGTGTTGATCTCCATTGTACAGGATGCCGACCATTTACGTAGAACTCGAGAAGGGCTCTCAAATGGTATATGATAGGATGAAAAATTATGGGGTCACGGCATTTTCAAGTCGGCCCCTTGTAGTAATCACCATCTTAACAAAGAGTTGCTCCGACGGCTCTTTAAGAAAGCGTTATTCTGAACGTACTGAACCCATGTGGAAATTACAGGAGAATGTATGATGGTGGGATCGAACGTGCGTGTCAGGTTGGAGTCGTGGAGCATAACAAGCTTCCGGTAGATGCACCCCCGGCGTTGCGGACGGACGATGGGATAGAGACTATGAATAAAACGCTGGAGATTTTTCTGATGGTAATTTCTCGAGTGGGAGATTCTCATCTTGACTGCTGTTGATTGAGTATTATACACACCTTATCTTAGTTGCTCAGGATTTTTTATCTGAATTTCAGATTTTCGGCCGAATCGCCGGCCTTCCACCGTTGGTCAGTAGCATCTTCGCCACCGCCTCCTCAATATGCCGAGCATTGCCGCGAACCGTGTCCAAGAAGGCAACCGTAGAGGTAAGCTGTGGCAGTCTCGGTGGAAATCTCAGCGCTGGTTGACTTTGTCAAATTCACTAGGGACAAGCTTCTGTCGACTGTGTTTGGGCTTAGATCGTTAGCTAGTTGACCGGTGTTGGAATATATGTTCGCTTTCCTTACCTGAGCTTTGAAGTTTCTTTGCTACGTTGTTGAAATACACCCGCGAGTTTGGGTAGAAGTGTACAAAAACCAATAAGAATTTCTCAGGATTTCCTCGTTCTTGTTAACACGTGTAGTTGACCGTATGCATATACTCCCAGCACTAGATGGTTCGACTACGTCAGAATCGATTGGAGTACACCCAGTGATCTGCACAAGTCATCTGTGGAACGCTCTCTGAGGCGTACACTTGTTTTTCATTGAAAAATTTTGAATAGATTGTTGCGAATTTCCGTGATGAGAATTTTGATCCTTTCACGAACCTGCCGTCGTATGGAATTAAATTTTGATAAAACTGCGTTGTGATCGTCATTGCATTTTCCTCAAAGTACGCCAGCACACTTACCAGATGCTGTTGGAGCTAGTTATTTCTATCACTGCGAGAATACGGCAGTTATCACCTGGGCAAATGATGATGATCCCTGCGGGTTTCTCTGCCCGGATGATCCTCGTTTTGGTGCGCGCAATTGACGAGTATAAATGTCAAATGGCGGTAACATGCTGTGGCGGCGACAGCGGTCTGAGATATTTTCCCGTCTATCATGACGGTTTGGGAGAACAGCGACTGAACCCGTTGATTTTCGATGATGTTTCTCGAGGGCGCATAGAAACCACAACCTTTTGGATTGAGCTTTTGAAGCAGTTGGTGGTGCCAGAGAAAAAATCGGGCGGAGCGAAGTTCGTTTTTGGAACGTTATTGCCATTTTTGAACGACACTCCAATCGAATCCCAAATGAATTAAGGCAAATGCAAGCAGTGTTTCGTATGATGA